TCGTCCCCAGACCCCCCCAGGCCCTCCAACATAGCCTGGAAGAGACCCCCCCCGAAATGATACCCCCGTCCTTTTATTACGAAATCTGGAGTATTGTTATTATCGAATCGATTGAAGTGCCTTTCTTAGGGCTCGCGTTTTGCTTTGACTCGGGGAAAGTCTTGGGTCTCAGAATTGTGTCGGCGGCCTCCGGCTGCCAACGACAGCCGCTCCCGCCTAGAAAAATCGCGCTATCGCGAGGGGCGTCTTCACATTTCATGGAGGAATCGCGCTCTCGCGAGGGATTTCCCCGCAATTAATTCAGACGCCGCGCCTTCGACACCATCGCGCTCTCGATCAGGCCTTTCATCGCGATTAACTTGGGGATCGCGCTGTCGCTCGAGCTTCCCCCGCGATTCACGCATTTCTCACGCTTCAGCAACGCGCCTTCTCGACCTGACCGCTTGGGCCCGCCTTCCCGACCCAGGGATGCTGAGGCGAGGAGGGTGGCGAGGAGGGGGGCGTTGGGCGGTTCCGGGTGAGAAATCTGGGTGGGGGGCCCCAGAAGGACACAGCTTCCGTGGGATAGGGATGCCGCGGCGAAAGGGGGGGGGCGTTGGTCGGGTCAGAGGGAGACATTGTGGGGTGGGGGGGAGTACGAAAAACAAAGCTTCCGTGGGTTGGGGGATGCCGATTCGAGGAGGGGGGCGAGGAGGGGGGCGTCGGTCGGTTCCGGGCGAGAAAGTCCCGAGAACAGAGCTTCCGTGGTGCGGGGATACCGAAGCGAGGAGGAGAGGCGAGGAGAAGGGCGTCGGTCGGTTCCGGGCGCGAGATGGCCGGGTGGGGGGCCGAGGGGTGGGGATGCGGAGGCGAGGAGGGGGGCGTCGGTCGGTTCCGGGCGCAGAATTTCGGGGTGGGGCGTCCCCAGAATGCAGGTCCGAGGGGTGGGGATGCCGAAGCGAGGAGGGGGGCGTCGATCGGTTCCGGGCGCGAAATTGCGGGGTGGGGGGCCCAAGAATGCAGTTCCAATGGACTCGACGGCGCCATCCCCAAACGTTTGCGCTGGGTAAAAAGGGTCGGGCTATGTGGAGACCTGGGGAGGGGTCAAGGTCAGGAAGCAGGTGGGGAGCGTGGTCGAGAAATGCAGAATGACACAGTGTAGGGTCGGGCAGCGTGGAAACCTGTGGGTGGGGGTCGAGGCCAGGAAGGAGGAAGACGTGTTAGAGCAATGCAAAATGACAGCGTGTTGGGCCAGGAAGGAGGTCGCACACGCCTTCTGGGGTCGGCGGATTCCAGGGGGCGCGTCAAATGCGCGTGGCAGGCAAGGAATATATACTACCCAGACGGGAGACGGAAAGGGCGGGTGTCGATGGTTTTTTGGGTGTGCATGTTGAGTGGCGTGCGAACAGCGAAGGACAATTAGTTTTAACGTGATTGTTGGTGCTTGCTGTTGGTGCTCCTTATGATGATGGACTGGTGATGGTGCTGGCGATGATGGTGGTGATGATGATGGTGATGGTGGCGATGGTGGTGATGGTGATGGTGATGGTGATGGTGATGGTGATGGTGATGGTGATGGTGATGGTGATGGTGATGGTGATGGTGATGGTGATGGTGATGGTAGTGATGATGATGATGATGATGATGATGATGATGATGATGATGATGATGATGATGACGATGTCAATGGTTATGATTGAGGTGGTAATGGCGATGGTGATGGTGATGGTGATGGTGATAGTGGTGGTGATGGTGATGGTGATGGTGATGGTGATGGTGATGGCTGGTCGTGCTGCCAATTGTGATGCTGATGATGGTGGTGATGCTGACGACGACGATGACGATGACGATGACGATGACGATGACGATCATGATGATGATGACGATGATGATGATGATGATGATGATGATGATGATGATGATGATGATGATCATGATGATGATGATGACGGTAATGACGATTTTGACGATGGTGGTGGTAATGGAGCGGCTGGTGGTGATGGTGATGAGAAGGATTATTGCGATGGAGATGTTGATTATGATGCTGCTGCTGCTGCAGATGCTGCTGCTGATGATGATGATGAGGATGGTGGTGATGGTCATGATGCTGCTGCTGCTGATGATGATGATGATGGTGTTGACGACGGGATGCGAATGACGACGTGACGACGATGATGCTGATGATGCTGCTGTTGATGCAGATGCTTCGATGTTTGTGATGTCAATGAAGCCACTGGTAAATAATACGATGATGGTGACGCCGATGCCATGATGACGATGATAAGTATGCTGATGCTGCTGTTGCTGCTTATGACGATCATGTGAAACATGATGATGATGATGCTTATAACGACGAGTATGCTGATGATGCTGAGTACGATTACGATGACGATAAGGTGGACGATGAGGACGATGTTGGTAAGGATGAGTGTGATGGTGTTGATGGTGATGGTGCTGATGACTGTACAGAGGATGGAGACTATGATGATGACTATGATTATCACGACGATGAAGATGACGAGGATCATAACGATGAGATTGATGATGTGATGATGGTATGATAATAATGGTGATGATCATGACGATGATCATTAACGGACTGATGCGGACGATCAGGATGATGATGATGCTGATGATGATGATGCTGATGGTGATGATGATGATGATGATGATGATGATGATGATGAGGTAATGATGATGCTGATGATGGTGGCGGTGGTGATGATGATGATGATGATGATGATGATGACGATGACGATGAGGACGAGGAGGAGGATGACGACGTCGATGATGATGCTGATGATGCTGATGGTGGTGGTGGTGTTGATGATGATGATGAGGAGGAGGAGGAGGAGGAGGAGGAGGAGGAGGAGCCGGAGCCGGAAGAGGGTGAGGAGGGACGCGCGGCTGCCAGAGGCCCCGTGGCGATGGACGTGAGGACGTGCTCGCTCCACGGCAAGAGCAGGGCCATCAAGTGGCCTCGGCCGGAACGCTGGCGAGGGGATGAGGATTCGGACGAGCAGGATCGCGAGGAAGAGGCGGAGGAGAAGCAGGACGAGGAGGAGGAGGAGGAGGATGAGGAGGGTGAGGAGAAGGAGGAGAAAGAGGAACGACAGGGAGAATGAAGAAGAAGAGGAACACTAATACGTAAGTATCGTACTTACAGTAGTCAGACGAAGACGAAGTGCGGGCGTGGGCAGTGTGAGTGCTTTCTTTTTCTGTTGGATCCTCGTGGTCCTCTGATTGTCTCTCACTCTCCTCTTCTCCTCTCGCGGGGGGATGGGGGGAATGGAGATGGGGATGGAGAGGAGGATCAGGAGGCGAGAAGGGAGATGAGGGTCAGGCGATCGCAAACATGGATCAAGGGGGCATGGATTAAATCGCGGATTTCGCTGCCGAGCGAGGCGGCACCGGCCGCATTTGGGGGAGGGCACCTCCCCGATCCATGGATTCGGCGACCGCGCGCCAAATCCATGGATCGCTAATCCATGTTTATGCGCCCCCGAGAGGGGAAAGGGTGAGGGGTCAGGGTCGGAGGAACAAGAAGGAGTAGAGGTAGGGGTCATGCTAAGCATGTCGAGCGACTCCGAGGAGCCACTGCTGGCACCACTTGCTATTGCGACTGGCGCGCGTTCCCACCAGCGAACGCAGAAGCGCTCGCGCGCGGCTCCGCTTCCGACGGCTCTGCGACGGGAAGACGCCACGGGCCGCGCACGGCCTGGAGTGCGGCTCTCCGAGACTCGCTGTGCCGCGCTGCGGCGAGAGCACCGTTTGGCCCTCTCTCGCTCGGCCGAGTTCATTCTCCATTTCCCCCTCCTCCTCCTCCTCCTCCTCCTCGTCCTCCTCTTTACCGACGTCCCTTTCCATTTCCCTTCTCCTCCACTTCCTCCTCCTCCTCCTTCTCCTCCCTCCGACACCGCTCCTCCTCCTCCTCCTCTTCCTCCTCCTCCTCCTCCTCCTCCTCCTCCTCTCCCTGTGTGCAGAATCTCTCATTGGGCCCCCTTTCGCGCGGCCGAGTTTCCCACGTGAGCGCCGCGAAGGCGGAGCACGCGCTGCGACGAAGCAGCACCGCCGCTCCCGCGCCAGACTCTGCGCGGGTCGTTGGGGGGGTCTCGATGCCGCCTGCGGCGGCCCGGCGAGCGAGGAACGTACCTAGAGATCCAACGTATTGAAAAATCAAGACGGAGGTTTTTCGCAGCTTTCGGTCTCTAGGGGCCTTCGCCAGGCTTCGGGACAGTCAAAAAGCGACTCGGGATGAAAAGCTGGTCCCCGGGAATGGGTTGAGACTTCCGGGGGCCGCGCATTGAAAAAATCACGACGTCGGATCTCTGGGTGTGCGCTGCGTCTTAGCGGGACGGCCACTGCTGGGAGAAATCTGCATGGGGTTTGGGAGGTGATCGTCTTTTTGTTCGTCGTTTTGCCGATCGGCGCGGGCCCTCGCACCCCCCCTCCCCCCCCCAATGGAGTAGATCTTGGCTGTTTTTGGCGCCTGTTTCGAGCAGGTGGAGTCTCCCCCATCGGACGCACAGTTGCAAACAGTCGCAGTAAGGGGAGGTCTGGAGTCTCCCCCATCGGACGCACAGTTGCAAACAGTCGCCCCCCTCGTTGCCCCCCCGCTTCCGCCCAATGTCGAAACGCCGAATAGGAACACGCTCACGAGGGGGCGACAAATGGCTCGTCCGCGCGCGGCCCCGCTCCCCCACGACTGGGCGAGCGAGAAGTCTGCGCCACCCCCACCCGCGGGCGCTGTTTTCGGAGAGACTTTGCGCGGCGTTCGGGCGAGGATTACACTTCGCAAGCTCGCGCGCGTCCCCGTTGTCGACGAATTGGCGGGCGAACGAGGTGCTCCGTGCCAAAGCGGGAGCTCAATTTGCGCGGCGCCGAGGCGAGAGCTACATTTTGCTCTTGCGCCCGCAATGTACGCCGCATCCATTCCGTGCCATGCACTGCGCCACGTCTACGCGCAAACTGTATGTTTAGAAGCAACACGTAGGATGGGGTTGAGTGGGGTAGCGCGCAAGGTTCAGGATCCAGGGGCTATCGGCTGGCCATCTGGCAGAGCGGGAGTGTCTTTGCGCCAAGTTAGCCAAGCCGAGCCAGTCACAGCGCCTCGCCCACAGTGGAGGCCCATGCCATGAAATACCCTGCTTGCCTCCAGGATGCCCTGGGTTTCTTGGGTTTCGATGGTTTTGCTATGGAAAGTGTGGCGTTCCCTAGTTTAAACTCAATGGGCGTCCTGGGGTCTCAGGGCTGGGCTTCTTGTGGACAGTTTCTTGCGGAAGGTCCCCATTCTGTATTCCCACCCTCCCTCCCAAGAGACGCGAATCGGTGTGGTGCGCCCCAGGGCGCCCTCGGGATGTACTTGGCGGAGTCCCCCCCCCCCCCCAACCAGCGCGACTTGTGGTATAACCTGCTGTTGGGATCGGAGCGCGCCCCCGCGCAGCGAACGGAAGGCACTCCCGTGGCGCAGCGCGACACCGCGCGGGCCTCGCCGGGGGCGGGAGCGGCCCCCTTTTTCCGAGGAGCGCGGCGGAGGCGAAACGTGCGCAGCACTGCCGCTTCCGCTCACAAGCTGCGCGGCACTCAGGCGAGGTCGGCCTCCTCCTCCTCTTCCACATCCTCCTCCTCCTGCTCCGCCTCGTCCTCCTCCTCCTCCTCCTCCTCCTCATTTCGCCTGCTCTGGCGCAGGCCCTGCGACCGCTGTCGCTTTCATGCAGCCTGACGCACGAAACTCGCGCCGCGCCTGCGCGGGAACTCCGCTCCCGAGCGAAGCTCGCACGGAAGTGGTCGCCCGTTCGCGCGGGGCCGCCCAGCGTGGCGAGCGGAGATGATGCACCGCTCCGAGACGGGAGCGCCGATTTCGGGCGAAACCTTCGTGGCGCCGAGGCGAGGACCGAATTTCGCGCTCGCCGAGGTGGCGTGCGAGATGTCCTGTTCCCGCCACACATTTAGCAGCGTGGACGACACAATGTCCATGTAGAACGCAAACATGGCGGCTTGGGATTTTTTTCACAGGCAGGATGGGGAGTCCTGCATCCAGCGGCCATCGGCCGGCTGGGTGGCAGAGTAGGAGCACATACAATATCAAATAAGGACAGATGCGTGGACAACACAACACAACACAACACAACACAACACAACGCAACGCAACGCAACACAACACAACACAACACAACACAACATAACATAGCACAACACACCGCAACACAACACAAGACAACACAACACAACACAACGCAACACAACGCAACGCAACGCAACGCAACGCAACGCAACACAACACACATCACAACACAACACAACACGACACAACACAGCACAGCACAGCACAGCACAGCACAACACAACACAACACACAACACACACACATGTAGATCTATCTTTCAGCTGTGTAAAACACGTCGAATCTGGTTCACATCTACATAATCTACCCAGGGAAGGATCCGGGGGCCAGAAATCTGGACCTCGAGCCCCCAATCTGGGCACGCCACCCCTCCAGGGCCTTCTGGGCCAATCCCCAGCTGCTCAAGAGGGCCCCCGGAGCCCCTGAAAGGGCCAAGGGGGCCCTAAGAAGCCCCGAGGATGGTCCAAGAGGGCCCCGAGTCGCCGAGCGGTCGCTCGAAGACGCCCATGCTGGCGTCAAGAACTTCACAGAAGGTTTCCATGACGGCTCAAGCGGGCCCCAAGAGCACCCCCAAGAGAGCCCGATGATGGCCAACATCTTTTGTTTCCCACTAGTTCGGAAGGCGGTGAAGTTCACACCTTCTGGGTTCCGACGGCCCAAGGCGGCCCAAGAGGTTTCCCAAATCACCCAAGATGCCGCCAAGACGGCCCAAGTGGCCCCCAAGGCGAACCAAGAGAGACCTACGAAGGGGAGAGCTAAGTCGCCCTGGGGCCAGGATAGCCCCCGAGACCGCCAAGAAGCCCCCAAGAGGTGGACGGGGCCCCCCAAGAGGCCCCAGGACGCTCCCGAGGCGGCCCCGAAACAGGCCACGACAGGCTAAGGGGGTCCCGAGAGGGCCCAAGACGGTCCCATCAGGCCCCGAAGACGCCCAAGACGCCCTCAAGACAGCCGACGAGGACTCCAACACGCTCCAACTCCAGGACGGACTCAAGAGGCTCCCCAAGAGGGCCTTGGGAGGCAAGATTCACTCATTTCCCGAGTGTTTTGGATTTTGGCGTTCTCGCTTTTCCCGCTTTCCAGCGCTCCCTCACGGCCTCGGAGACCCTTCAGATCGCTCCAAGACGTCCCACCATGCCTCGAAGAGGCCCCAAGACGACCCAGGAGGCTCCCGAGACAACCCAAGTGTGCCCCAAGAGCGCCCCAAGAGAAGGCCCAGAGGGGTCCTGAGGCGGCCCGGGCGCGCCCCGAAGCAGGTCACGACAGGCCAATAGAGGTCCCGAGAGGGCCCAAGACGGTCCCAAGAGGCCCCGAAAACGCCCAAGCTGCCCTCAAGACGGCCGACGAGGACTCTAACACGCTCCAGGGCGGACTCAAGAGGCTCCCCAAGCGGACCCTGGGAGGCAAGATTCATTCATTTTCCGATGGTATTTTAAGGATTTAGGCGTTCTCGCTTTTCCCGCTTCCCAGCGCTCCATGTCCCCGGAAGGCTTTCTGGGGACATGGTTTGTTGGGGTGTGTTGGGGGTCCTCTTGGGCGTTCCCTGGGGGCCCCTTGGGGGCCTCTGGGAACTCTCGGGCCCATGATGAACCGTGTCCCTGGAAGGCTTTCTGGGGACATGATTTCTTGGGGTGTGTTGGGGGGCCTCTTGGGCGTTCCCTGGGATCCCCTTGGGGATCTCTTGGGGCTTCCGGGGGGCCTCTTGGGCGCTTCATGGGGCTTCGTGGGAGCCTCTTGGTGGCCTCCGGGGGCCTGCTGGCGGCCTCTAGGGCCACAGACCTCGAAATATTGGTTGGTGGTCCCCCTTTGGGTCCCCTCTTGGGGAGCTCTTGAGGCACACTTGGGTGGTATGGAGAGCTGTCTGGGAAGTTCACTGGGAACATTACTGATCGCCTTCTCGCGGCCCTCCGCATATCGTTTCGCACAAAGTTGCCCCAAATGCCCTCTTGAACCGACGACGACGACGACGACGACGACGACGACGACGACGAAACGACCAAGACGAGGACGACGACGACGACGGCGCGCCCCAAGAGGCGACGACGACATTACGACGACGACGACGGCACGCCCCAACAGGCTCCCCAAGACGCCCCCCAAACCCATGCTCCTAGAAGGTCTTCTGGGAACCCGATTCATCTGGCCTCCGCTTCCCTACGCAATCATTTTCCCCGAAAGCCTTTCGGAATGCGGATTGGCATGCGTGGACTGTGGTCCGCTACTTCAGTGGAGCAGTGAATTCGTCAAGGCCTGGTGCCTGCTAGAACCTGAGCGCGCGCGAAGCGCGCGCGATGACTCTAGTATCTATCGGTATATATATATAGTTCTTTGTGTGTGTGCTTGTGTGTATGCTTACATTATCTGGAATGTAAATACACGTATGGAGGGACGAACAGACGGACGGGGAGGAGGAGAAGGAGGGGGAGGAGGAGGAGAAAATGACTCTTTCTCCGCCCTTCCTTTCTCTGGTGTGTAACTGCGGGCGGTCGTTCCCAGCTCGCAGGTCACTTAGGGGTTGTCGCCTCCTCCTCCTCCTTCTCCTCCTCTTCCTCTTCCTCCTCCTCCTCCTCCTGCTTCTCTGCGTCCTCCTCATCCTCTTTCCTCCTCCTCCTCCTCCTCGAAGATCATAGCTCGCCGCCTCCTCCTCCTCCTCCCCCTCCTCCTCGTCCTTTCCTCCTCGTCATCTCCGAGGTACCTCAGGGAGGACGGGGGCGGCAAGTGGGCCTGCGTGGTGGGCTTCGAGTGCAAGGCCACTTCTTCCTCGGAAAGACGCACTATGTACGATGGTGGCCGGGGGAAGTGGAGGGGGGGAAGCGGGGAAGCTCCTCCTCCTCCTCCTCCTCCTCCTCCTCCTCATCGTCCTCCTGTGCCTTTTCCGCCCCTCTCGGTGTCCTCCTCCTCCTCCTCCTTCCTCTCCTCTCCTCTCCCTCCTTCCTTCATAGTTGCACAACATGAATGCTACTCTCCTCTCTACCCTGACTACGTGCCAAAGTATCCTGGCCCCCCCCCTCCGAGTCTTGTCATGTTTCACCTGTTTGGACAGAGCTGTTCAGTCTTCCACGCTTTTTGCACCACGAGGTTTTTTACAGTCGTGTTCCCTCTCCGTGGGCCTCATCTTCGGATCGGCGCTTTGCTCCCGTCGTTCAGGGTGGCGCGCTCGCCCCAGCTCGGGCCAGTTTTCTGCGTGCGAGTTCCTCGTCCTAGCTGTCGCCCCCCTCTTTTCCCCTCCTCCGCCTTCCCCCGGTGCTCCTTTTCCTCCCACTCCTTCCACTTCAGTTCCTGCTAGTGCTATTCCTCCTCGTCCTCCTCCTTCCTCTCCCTCCTCCTCCTTTTTTCCTGCTCATCCTCCTGTTCACCCGCCACCTCCTCCACCTCCTATGTGTGCAGCTTTTTCCGAATGCGCATAACACGCTGGGGTCTTTGGTGGAGTTCCAGGTCGGCTATGACATGTGTCCGCGGATAGAGGAAGGATCGGCGCAATGGGAAGCGATGGGAGGGAGAGATCGGATGTGAGATGTGGCGCTAGCGCACCTAGTTTGTGGTGGTGGTGGTGGTGCTGCTGCTGCTGCTCCTCCTCCTCCTCTTCCTCCTCCTCCTCCTCTCCCCTCTCCGTCCTTATCTCTTGTGCTCGCCAGACATGGGGTGTCAAGGTCTGCTGTGCCACAGCCCTTCTCATCCTTTCCCCCCTCCTCCTGCTCCTCCTCCTCCTCCGTCTGCTCCTCCTTCTCCTTCTCCTTTTCTTCCTCCTCCTCCTCCTCCTGCTTCCCTTCTCTCATCCTCCCCTTCCTCCCCCGTGTTCCTCTTCCTTTCTTCTCTACTTCTTTTGACCCAGGGGGAAGGGAGACAGACGCAGGGGATCAGAACAAGAGAGGGAGGGGGAGGGGGCGAGGGGGTGTGAGGCGGAAGCAGGCGGGAAGGAGCCGATGGGGCAGCACGCAGGAGAGCGGACAGGGTGCGGGGGGGGAGGGGCGGCGAGGCACGCCGTGCTCTCCTCCCCCGCCCGAGCGCCACCGCCCGCCCTCTGGGGGAGTACTCCTCGGGAGGCCGCCTGAAGGAGGGCTGCAGGAGAGTCCGAGGGCCGCGTTCTCCGATGCCCCGCCTCGTCGCCTGGAGGGAGAGGGCGACGAGGCGGGGGCGGATAATGAGAAGGAGGCGGAGGAGGAGGCGGAGGAGGAGGATGAGGAAGAGCACGAAGAGCAGGAGGAGGAGGAGGAGGAGGAGGAGGAGGAGGAGGAGGCGGAGGAGGAGGAGGGAGGGGGAGGCGGAGCAGGAGCAGGAGGAGGAGCAGGAGGAGGGAGGAGGAGGAGGAGGAGGAGGAGGAGGGAGGAGGAGGAGGAGGAGGAGGAGGAGGATGAGGAGGAGGAACAGGAGAAGCAGCAACAGGAGGAGCAGCAGCAGGAGGAGCACAGGAGAGGAGGAGGAGGGGAGGAGAAGGAGGAGGAGGGCAGGAGGAGGAGCAAGAGGAGGAGGAGGAGGAGGAGGAGGAGGAGGAGGAGGAGGAGGGAGGAGGAGGAGGAGGAGGAGCAGGACGAGCAGGAGGAGGAGGAGGAGGAAAGGAGGGGGACGGGGAGGGGGAGGGGGAGAGACGGAGGAGGAAGAGGAGGAGGAGGAGAGAGAGGAAGGAGGAGAGGAGGAGGAGGAGGAGGAGGAGGAGGAGAGGAGGAGGAGGAGGGAGGAGGAGGAGGAGAGGAGGAGGAGGGGAGGAGGAGGAGGAGGGAGGAGGGAGGAGGAGGAGCAGGAGCAGGAGCAGGAGCAGGAGCAGGAGGAGGAGGAGGAGGAGGAGGAGGAGGAGGAGGAGGAGGGAGGAGGAGGAGGAGGAGGAGCAGGAGGAGCAGGGGGACGAGGAGGAAGGTATCTCGTCAGGCGCATGTGACCCGCTGTTCAACTCATTGTGGCTGGCCCTCCCTGAGACGGAGCTGGAGACCCCGATCGAGGTTTTTGTGCACTCTTTCGACACCAGCGCGGCCACGGAGCCTTTCAACTTCGCGCAAGTGGCAGGGGTTTTCAGAGATGGTTCGGTCCTGGACCTGATGTCGGACGTTGGTGCAAGAGGTGGATGGGCTGCGATCGAGACGGACCCTGAGGGTAATTTTGTCCGTGGCAGGTCGGGGTCCATCCATCGTGGGCCCCCTCAAACTGCAGTGCTCGCTGAACGCCGCGGCTTGATGCGCTTCGTCGAACATTTGTCCCATGACCAGGCCCAGGACCAAGGGGGCTTTACCGAAGTCTATGTTGACTGCGCGGCGTTTCGGGAAATGCTGACCCCCTGAGGGCCTCCAGAGGCAAGACGGCCCAGTCGGGCAAATTGAGAGGGGTCAAGGATGCCAACACCCACAATCTGAGCAACCATAAAGTTACAACACATCTCAGGGCGTCTGATGAGTCCCACCAAACAAAGTGCCTTACTGGAGGGAACATGTTGGCTGATGTTTTTGCGCAGGAGTCTGCAGGGAGATACGGGTCACCCCAGGATGCTGCCACCCTCATAGCTGTGCACAAGGAGTGGGACCAGGTCGCTGATGCCTTCTTGTCCATTCTACCTCTCTGACCCTGCGCTAGAGACTTGCAAGGTGACATTTGCAAAGGCCCCGAATCCCGAAGACTCCCAGAGTGCACGTCTGCCTCGCCCACGATGTCAGAGGGGTCGGCTCGTGCCGGCTATACTTTGCCTGCGCCCGTACTTTCCTGAACCAGAGAGCCGCCGCAGTTTCGTCCTGTGGACCATTGCCTCCCTCCCTCCGCTCCCTACTCTGCCCGCCCGTTCCCCCTTCCCCGTCCCACTCGTTCAGGGTGGCCCCGGTGCTGGCTACAGGGCAACGAGTTTTTTTGTTGCACACCCTGCGGCAGCTACACATCAGGCAGGCACCCCCGTGACCTGCTTGCTGGCTACGCCATGGTCGAAGGTCAGCAGATCCAGATACTGCGGTCGGGACAGCCTCCCTGGCCTAGCGGTCCCCTGGGGTCATGTCCCCTTTCTGGAGCCCTGGTGCAACAGCCCCCGAGGGTTGGGGACAACTCCTCAGGTCTGAGTTTCCCAGGCACTGACTGTCTCCAGGGCTTGCCCGTTCTATCGGTGCCTTCTGGGTTGGAGTCGCCGTGGCACTGCGGCTTGTGGCTGCGGGGGCCTTGGCCTTCCTCGGCGCGGATCTCAGTGGGTCCACTCCTCAGAGTTGCTGGGGCACCGAGGCATCAGGCCTCGGGGGGCTCTAGCATCTTCCGCGGGAAACCAGCCAGGTCACTGGCACTTGACTGTCGCCTGCCAGGGCACCCACGCGTGCCCAGCCCCCGTTCGCTTAGAGAGTGTCGTGGGGTATCGTGGTCCAGGCAAAAAACAAGGACAAGGACGAGGAGGAGGAGGAGGAGGAGGAGGAGGAGGAGGAGGAGGAGGAGGAGGAGGAGGAGGAGGAGGAGGAGGAGGAGGAGGAGGAGTACGAGGAGTACGAGGAGTACGAGGAGGTGGAGGTGGAGGAGGAAGGCCTCCTTGAAGGGCAGAGCGGCGAGGAGAGGCGCGAGGCGAGTCCCGCGTGCGCGCCGCCCCGATGCGCCCCAGGCCGCTGGCTCTGGCGCGAGGGGCGAGGACGACCTCCGCACGCAGTGCGCGCTGCACGGTGACTGGGTGGGGGGGTGGCTGGTTTGTTCAACGCTCGACTCCTCCTCGTCCTCCTCCTCCTCCTCCTCCTCCTCCTCCTCTCCTCCCTCCTCCTCCTCCTCCTCCTCCTCCTCCTCCTCCTCCTCCTCCTCCTCCTCCCGTAGCCATTTTGGTTCAAGACCAATGCTTTGGCGGGCTGAGCCCGCATTGGCAAAACTGGATACCGCTAGTCCGCGGCAGCTTTCATCCTTCACGGAGGTCCCTCGTTACCCAGTGCGCGATCAGGGGCTCCAAGGGGAGTGCGTATCTGGGGCGAGGGGTTCGCTAGCCTCCAATAGCTCGTTTGCGAAGACATGGTCATGCAGAATGGCTGCGTCAAGTGTGTATCCTGCGGGTACAAATGGACGTGGAAGGGTCGTGAGAAATGCTTCGGCTGCAACAGGCCGGTGGAGCTCGGGGGCCTTCCACCTTGGCGAGATGCAGCACCAGCTCAATGCGTTTGGGAGAAACGGGTCCAGTCAGCGCTCGATGATGAACAGCATGACGGCTGGAAGGAGTGGAGAGACTGGCCCAAGTCGCGCCGCTTGCGCAAGAAGGGTGCGAAGGACGACGCGGGCAAAGAGGTGGCCCAGACCCCCGAGCAGGTCCTCCAGGCAATGCAGGCGGCTGCGCCACACATCGACCCGTCCGCGATCGAAGGGCTCAAGCTGGTTGAGCCCCTAGCTGCTGCTTAGCAGCAGCTGCTCTGGTAGCGGCAGCTGCTCTGGCGGCGGCAGCTGCTGTTTAGCAGCAGCTGCCGCCGCCGGCGCCAGTTGTGCAGCGTGACCCCAACCAGGAGTACCAGCACCAGTGCGCGCTGGAACGGAAAGCCAAGCTCGCCCTGGACAAAGCCGTGGAGTCCGAGACCAAGGCGCACGACTGGTACTTGTAAAGGAAAGAGGCTGCCCGTCATGCTGCTGAGGAAGCAGTTCGGGCGCAAGAGCGGGCTGAGGAGGCGCTGCTGGCTTTGCAGCGTGCACGGGGGCAAGCGCGGCCTGCGGAGGCGGCAGCCGCGGAGCCGTCGAGGCCAGGCGTGGCTCTCAACCTCACCACCCTCCTTGAGAGCGAGGAGGTCCACTTCGAGGCAGGTGCGGCGTTCGAGCTGGAGGGGCTCGAGGTGGGCGAGGCCGACAACGAGGCTTTCCAGGCGCTGCAGGCGAGGTTCGTGAAGGAGCTCAAGCAGAAGATCAGCGAGCTCTTCGGCGTGCGCCGAAAAGAGGCGGCAGATATGCGCGAGCGTCTCAAGGCCAAGAGGCAGCGGCGCGAGGAGGCTCCTGCCGAGACCGCCGCGGGGCAGTCCGAGGGCGGAGTGGCAGCGGCAGGTGCTCGTGCACCCGCCCCAGCGCCCGCGGCGGCGCCAGCGGGGGCACCTTCCTCGGCGGGCGGTGCGCGTGCTGCTCGGACCGCCGACAATACTCCTGTGCCTGGCGATCATGATCGTGACGCGGGACCTCAGTTCCAAGATGAGGTCCAGAGGCTGCTTTCTGCGGCCAAGGGAGCTCAGCAGGGACTTCGGCGCTGAGTGGACCGTGGCGACGGTAGGCCCCCGTACTTCGATGTCCAGGCCATCGGGCTCAGCACTCGCCGCGGGGGCGGTGGAGCTAGCCACAGCGTCGGGCGCTGCGCTCACCCTCGGGGCAGAGCGAGCGGCTTCGGGCCCCGCGCTCACCTCCAGGGCAGAGCGAGCCACAAGGACAGGCAGTTCGGCGACTGCCGGCAGCAGAGCCCGCCATCGGAGGCAGCGGGCCGCGGGCGCGCGGGTGGCCGGGGCCCTCCTCCCCGATGAGCGCGTCTCCAGGGCCGCGGACGAGCGGGGCCCTCAGGGAGATTGCGAAGGCCCTGCTGCACATGCAGGTCGTGCACGTGGCTGCCGCGCGCCGAGGATGCGGGGTCCCAATGCGGCGAAGCAGAGAGCCAATGACCATCTCAAGAGTCGGGCTGGCCGATGGATCACGCAGCTCGATGGCAGCGAGCACGGCGAGCGCAGGTAGAGGCGATGGTGCGTGCCCCGCGTGATGGGGATTACGCGCTGCAGCTTCCAGGGGGCTGAGGAGTTTCGCTTGGAAGCATGGCGCCGAGGGGGCCCGGCGAGACAGGCGACCCTGCTGCGCCTGGCATCCTTGGCAGAGTGGGCAGACCTCTCGTCCTGGAAGAGCGCAATATCGGCAATTTGGGACGAAGAGCGCCGAGTTCTTGAGGCATTCCGAGCTTGCCTCCAAGACCGTGCACCGCCAGAGGAGCGCCCCGAATATTACAATGAATACTACGACGACGATGATAGCATCGAGGCGCGAACGGCATGGACCCATGCGTCGACAGCACTCCCAATTTCATCGTGGTCAGCTTCTGCGGGGGCCGCGGCTCTCTCATCCCCGCCGTTGCTAGATGCAGTTTCGGAAAACATAACGCCAGGACCTTCTCCGCGGATCAGCACGGAGAGCCGCCAGGAAGAGTCGCGCACAAGTCCGCATGGGAGCAGCAGTCGCCGGCAGAAAGATTCACGCGTTACTCCGCGTGAGAGCAGCAGAGAGGCCCACCATCGGACGCAGGGGGCCGCGGACGCGCGGGTGGCCGATGCCCTCCTTCCCGATGAGCGCGTCTCCAGGGCCGCTGACGAGCGGGGCCCGCAGGGGGACTGCAAAGGCCTAGCTGCAGAAGAGCAGGGTCTTGTCGACAATCTAGAAGGGTATCTCGACAGCGAGCAAGCAGGTGATGCGCAACAGTTTCCAGAAGATGGCGATGAACAGGTGTCCGTGCCGCAGATAGAGTGTGTGACGGAGCGAGAGCAGGTGGCCTACCCGAAGGAAGCAGCATCAACCTGAGCCTACAGCTGAGTCGCAGCGAGTGCAGGTGGCCTCCTCGACGAGCCTGCACGTTCCAGAGCTAGGCAGCAGAGAGGCCCACCATCGGATGCAGGAGGCCGCGGACGCGCGGGTGGCCGATGCCCTCCTTCCCGATGAGCGCGTCTCCAGGGCCGCTGACGAGCGGGGCCCATGGGGAGATTGCGAAGGCCCAGCCGCAGATTAGTACGATCCCTTCGACGATCGCGACGAGTATCTCGACAGCGTGCAAGCAGAGGAGGTGCAACAACCTCCAGAAGATGGCAGTGAGCAGATGGCGGCGCCACACGTGGATGGCGTGACGGAGCGAGTGCAGGTGGGCTCCCCGAAGCAGCATCAGCCTGAGCCCACAGCGGAGTCGAAACGCGGGCAGGTGGCCTCCTCGACGAGCTTGGAGGTTCCAGAGCTATTGGCGGACCTCCCCCGAGGTAGGCGGCGGTGCGTATCGGCGCTATGTGGCAATATCACGGAGTGGGGCACCATGATCCATAAGTTTGCGGCGAGCCAGAGGGAGTTCAACCTGTGCATGTTCGTCGAGACGCACCTCGATGAGGAGAGGACCGCAGAGGTGCAGGCGTCGGTGAGGAAGGGCGGATGGAAAATGATCGCCGCGCCTGCCAGGGCGAGTGGGCGGTCTGAAACAGGCGCGTCGGCAGGAGAGGCCATACTTGCTCGGACCCATGTTGCGACTTCATCTTTTGAGACTACCTCACCAAGTACTGATCGAGCAGCGCGGCGAACCCCATCCATGGTTTCTCGGCCCTCGTGTGGCACCTGAAGGGCGGCAGCGTGGTGATGATCTGCACCTACCTCGCCCTCAAGTTCGGACTCGCGAAGGGACCCAATGGTATGGCGCTGAGGGCACTTGTATCCTTCGTGAGGAGCTTGGCGGGCCCGTGTGTTATCATGGGTGACTGGAACCACTCTCCTGACCAGATTGCGAAGGCCCGCGTGCAGGAGTTCCCGAGAGGGGTGGTGCTCGCCCCACCGTGTGCCATCATGCGACAAAGGCCTGGGCTCCATGATCGACTTTGCGATAGTCAGCGAGGGCCTGAAGGACAGGGTGACGCTCGCCCCTGTCCTGGCAGTGCCATGGGAGACCCACTGCGGCATCGCAATTTCCTTCGAGCGGTCTGAGGAGGCGATCTGGCACAGGAAGCTGCACTTGCCTAAGGAGCTGCCGCAGGTGGAGAGGCCCCGGAAGTTTGCTGATCCTACGAGCAAGAGTTCACTACGACGAGAAGAGGCACGGCTTGTTCGGGGAGGCAGATTGGCACCATAGCAACGGGAGGCGTTCGACGTGACCCAGCCTCCACCAGCGCAGCCAGGGCCTCCAGATGATGAGGTCAAGTGCCGTGTCTTGGCTACGCTCTGGGCCCAGGCGAGCGAGCTTGTCGGCGAGCCGCTTGCTTTCGCTGTGCCGGGAGGGGAAGGGGGCAGTGGAGCTGCCATGGATTTGGGGGGCAATGGAGTTGCCCGCCACTTTTCGCACGCCGCTCGCCCAGATGCGACTCAGAGAGTGAATCACATGTATGCTTGTTGGGTCGCCCGAGTGGAGGTTGTCATATTGAAAGCCTCCCAGGTCGATGAGTCGGAATGGGCTCCGTTCCCGGGGCGAGCCCAGGGATTTCTTTGGTTCGGCAAGAAACTAGGGCCTCACCAGGCCGTGCCCACCTGGTAAATGGCCCTGCCGAGTGGTGGGCGATCTCCACCACACTTTTGAAGGACCAGTTTCCCTGCGGCTCTCTGGCGAAGACAAGAGGCAGATAGGGCAGTGCATGATGAAGTTGCGCAGACAATTCGAGCAACTCGAAGGGCAGGACATGTCGGAGTTCGTAGGCAAAGACATGCAGGAGCTCGGTGTCACAACGATTGCTTGCCTGTATGACCTCAGCCTGCAGAGGGATGCGGATCTCCCCGCGCTAGTCGAAGCGGCCGAGAGGCTCGCAGCTTGCGCGCACGTTCGCGGGATAGCCTCGTCACGCCGAGCCTTTGAGAGCTGGGCGAAGGAGCAGTGGAAAAATAAACCAGGCATTGAGCACCGTCGCGTGAAGCATGATCTGCCTGCCCCGCTGGAACCGCTTTTGCCAGGGAAGGTCGTTTCGGACCCTGCGGCCATCATGGCTGAGAAGCAGGCGAC